ATATTCTTCCAAATGAATATTTTCACATGACTCCACCAGTTAGACAGGCTTTTAATAAACAAAACTTAAGACCTAGTAACAGAAAATGTTTCTGCTATCTTACACAAAACTTTAAATCTTGCATCTGTATCTAATCACAATGTTAGCTTGTTGGGTTGCTTCTCTCAGCATAGATATGAAAATAGTAATGATAAAATGGAAGTATGAAATTATAGGTCACAAAACAATGAAGACATTTGGAGACTTCTATGTTAATTGTAACAAATACTAAATAAGTACAATTTTAATGAATATGAATATATACACCCCAGAGTAGCCTTACCATTTGATTAATAAATTATTTGATTAATAAATTCCAAAGTACTTTTTAGGAGTGAGGAGCTACCTATTATTAATATATCTGGACCTGTATATAGGCATGTCTAGGTACCCCACATTTTTAAAATATTCTTTTATAATACCTAACACTCCTCAATTATGCATAAATTCACTTTCTTTGAAAAAGAAGCAATTGTGAGAGCTCAATTAATTAATATCAGTCATAACAATATGAGAGATTACTTATGCTGTAACAAAAATGCCCAAAAATCTACAGTGTTTCAATATGCTTGCTTCTTTTTTCCTGAGACCTCACATTCTAAATAGATGAATGTTCGTTTTCTTTCCAAGTGCTAATTTCTTAATAGAATGCATTTAACAAGGACATGGGATATTACAAAGAAATTTGCAAGAGTAATTTATTTCAAAGAATTAAATCAAATTTTCTCCCCTCCCCTCCCCCAGTATACAGAAGAGTAGAAAAATACAGGATTTGCCATTTTATTATCTATGTTTAATGAGAAAACTTTTGAAGGTAGACACTGTATCTATATCTATATATCTGTTTAAAGACATCTTTCTATATATTTATATGAATTAATTTTGAAAGTGCTAAATTTTCAGTTTTTTGGACATTCTTGTCTTGGTGGACTTGTATTTATGTTTATCATTAAAATTCATTTGCGACTAGGAATTTACTATTTTGTGTTTATGAGAAATCAAATTTTAAAACTGTAAGATTGGCTTACCTTGTCCATATTTATTCTTTATAGTAAGTAATATAGGCATATTCTCATTTTTAACATAATCTGTTTCTCTTTTGACATGTAACAGAATATTTCGCCCATGCTTATGCAGTATTGTATAAAATATAAGTATACTCAGACTTAGCAACAGAAGGAATTATCAATTAAAATTATGTTAAAATTGAGTATTAAACTTGTTACTTATTTTAAAGGATTAACTGAATGTAAACAAATTCTGAGGGCCCTCTCATTGATGATTTGGAAAACTCTGTCAAAATCTAAGTAAGTACAGCACAAATCCTTCAAAGTAATATATCATTAGAAATAATTCATTTCCTCTGTGTGGCATATTTTTTTATTTCTTCGTGCTAAGAATCATTTTGGGTAAATTGCAAGTGGGGAAAGAGATTGATATTTCTGAAAATAGGTAAATATTTTCTTTTCTTGGGAAGGATTCCACTATATCACTTTTATTCAGTAGCAAGGAATAATATACTGAAAACTTGAAAGGGTATAAGTGGAGGAAAGATTCATTTTTTAAATCTTACACAAGACTAAAGTAGCAATTTAATTGGCATCATATTACATGTCAAAATCTTTGAAAGTTTCATAAAATTGAAATTTCGTGTGTTTTAACTGATATCAAAACATTATTTAATAGCAACAAGGACAAATACAGCAAACTAATGCATCATTGAATTCCCTCAACAGCCATTTTTATGTGCTCATTAATATGCTAGACTCTAGGGATGAAGAAAATAGAATTTCTTGTTATAGATGATTTATTTAATCTTATCTTATATCACTTACCTCCACATTCCAATTTTCTAAAATAATTTAGAATAGATATGCTGTAATGCCTATTGAATGCAATTATAAAACACAAACACAAAATATCATTTATGATATGAATATTTTAAGCATATATTATGACATAAGAATACTTAGTTCTATAAATTGTATAAATATTTATTTCATGAATCCTCATAGCAACTACATGAAATTTTAACTGCTTTTAATTCCCACTTAAGTTTAGAAACTGTAGCACAGAATAGAGAAGCAAGTAATCTAAAGTCCCAGAGCTGGTCCTTTTTTTAATGGGGTTGTTCATTTTCCTGGTGTTGAGTTGTATAAGTTCTTTATATAGTTTGGAAATTAACCCCTTATCAGATGTATCACTGGCAAATATGTTCTCCCATTCAGTGGGTTCCCTTTTCACTTTGTTGATATTTTCTTTTGCTGTGCAAAAGCTTTTCAGTTTGATGTAGTCCCGTCAATAAATCAACAAATAACAAGTGCTGGCAAGGATGTAGAAAAAAGGGAACCCTTGTGCACTGTTGGTGGGAATGCAGACAGGTGCAGTCACTGTGGAAAACAGCATAGAGTTTCCTCAAAAAATTATAACTGCATCTACTTACTGATCTAGCAATCCCACTTCTGGGAATATGTATATCCGAAGAAACTCAAAACACTAATTGAAAGAATATATGCACCCCTGTGTTCATTGCAGCATTATTTACAATAGGCAAGATCTGGAAACAGCCCAGTGTCCACCAGTAGATGAGTGGATAAAAAAGCTATTCTATTTACACAATAGAATGCTACTTGGCCATAAAAGTAAGCATACAAACAAATAAATGGAATCTTCTTTTTTTGTTGTTAATCCTCACCCGAGGGTATTTTTCCATTGATTTTTAGAGAGAAGGAGAGACACCAAGAGAGAAACATCGATGTGAGAGAGACACATTGATTGGTTGCCTCTGGCATGCACCCCCACCAGGGTATGCACCCCAATCAGGGCCAGGGATCGAGTCCGTAGTGTAGGTACATGCCCTTGACCGGGATCAAATCCAGGAGCCTTCAGTCCACATGCCCAGGCTCTATCCACTGAGCCAAACCAAGGCAGAAAGTTACCTTTTGTGACAACATGGATAGTCGTGGAGATTATTATGCTAAGTGAAATAAGCCAGAGAAAGGGAAATACCATATGATCTCACTTATATGTGGAATATAATGAACAAAATAATCTGACAAACAAAATTAAAACAGAGGCATGGATACATGGAACAGACTGACAGCTGTCAGAGGGGAATAGAGTTAGGGGGGGCTAGATGAAAGAAGGTGAAGATTTTTAAAAATATATATATTTTATTGATTTTTCACAGAGAGGAAAGGAAGGGGATAGAGAGTTAGAAACATCGATGAGAGAGAAACATCGATCAGCTGCCTCTTGCATACCCCCGACTGGGGATGTGCCTGCAACCAAGGTACATGCCCTTGGCCGGAATCGAACCTGGGACCCTTCAGCTTGTAGGGCGATGCTCTATCCACTGAGCCAAACTGGTCAGGGCGAAGGTGAAGGATTTAAGCAAAAAAAAATATAGATACACACACACACATTATATAACACGTAGACACAGACAACAGTGTGGTGATGGCCAGAGGGAAAGGGAGTGGGGGTAGGTGGTGGTGAGCAAACAGGGAAGGGGGAGGGAGAGTAGAGACTGAAAGAGACTTTTCTTGTGGTGATGGGCATATGATGCAGTGTGCAGATGATGTTTTGGTGAATTGTACACTTGAAACCTGAAAGGTTTTGTAAACCAATGTCACCCCAATAAATTTAATTAAAAAATAAACATATTAGAAGATAAAAATAAATAAATAAACAAACTCCCAGAACATGTATGTAGCAGAGCCAGGATTCTAATCTCAGCAGTCTGACGGCAGAGAATGCAGTCTGATATATTACTTTATGTGTCAAAATGTGCAAAGAATAAATTCTGAAAAAAATGCACAGCAGAATTCAAGTTTCTGCAGTTTTAATTTTTTTTAGTAGCATGTAGTAGCTTCACACATCTTAGCCACAAACTGAAGAAACAAAAACCAAAAGAAAAAAAATTAAAATTAGGAGAAGGTAGTTCATGTTTTGTACAACACCAGGTGTTGAAAATTATGTAGATGAATTGAATTTCTGACACCTGTTAATGTAGGTGTAACTCTATATGATTGCTTTAGAAAATAATTTGCTATTGCCTTATGGTGTACAAATTAGTAATTACACTTTTATAAATAGACCTTAGAGTTTCACCTGTGCATTAGGAAACAGACACAAGAATGATCATTGCAGCACAGTTTGTAACAGCAACAAATGGAAGAAAAAATGCTCATTGAAAGGAGAAGGATAAAGATAAATATTGATGTAGATATATAAATGCTATTATACAGCAGTAAAGTTATTTAAATATAGCTTCCTGTAACCATATACTAGAATTTTAATAGTAATTGGTAATTAAGTTTAAAAATTCCATAAAAGTCGGATAAGACATTGTTCTTTTAATAAAGATCCTAAACAAGGCATACATATACTGTCATAAAAACATTTAAAAAGTGAGAAAGAGTATGATGAAAAATAAATTCAAGGCAGTGGTTGCCTCTGAGGGAGAGTTTGGGAGGTAAGTTTTGACAACATCTCATAGGGTAGATATAAGTTATAGAAAATATTTGGAGTGGATGAAGAGTTTACAGCTCTTCATTATATGTTAATTTAAAATGCACAATGAGATAGTCCCATACATATAATTGACCAAAGATTATGACTGCTTTAATTTTTCACACTGGAAGTACAAAAACAGTAAGTATAAGTTTAAAATAGAGAGGCACTTTTTTGCATAAATTTATGCTTACACCAATGAATTTCAGTTTCACTAGAGAATCAGTCATACCTTTAACTAAGGGCTTATTTATGATTGCAGAATAATAGGAACGCCCTGGAAAATTGTTACTTAAATATAATAGAACTGTGTGGTTAGTTTTTCTTTAAGATTCTTGCTTAAACGAGAAGAAAATTTGTGAAACCAATTGAACTGTGGGATTTTTGTCTCAAGCTACTATTATCTTTATAATCTTTGCATTATGTGTTTTATATTTTTATTCAGAATGGTGAGCTTACTTAAAGACTTTGTTGAGTCTGAATTTTTTTTGATTGATGGAGATTCATTACTCATCGCTTGTTTTCTTAATGTGAACTTCAAGAAAGGACAAACTCTTCACTTCTTTTATATTGTAGAACAATTTCTGCATGATTTCATCCAAAAGGAAGCCAAATTTGTATTAGTTTTTTTTAAGGTAACAAACAGATTTAATTTTCTATTCTCATTTTATAGAGGCTAAGAAAAAATATTTATTTTTAAGTGTTATCAGTCATTACTTACTCTTTTATATATTTTGCTTATTCAGATTGTAATTAAAGTCTATACTAATAGGAATAATACCAAGTATTATTGAAAGAGAAATAGCTAATGAGTCTTTATCTGACAGTTCTACAGTATTCAGAAAAATTAAGTTAATAACCTCGAATTTTTAACTCTTTGTATTATGTTAATACAACAATTTATATGCAATGCTAATATTTAGAAAAATAACTAGATATTCTATTTTTATCTCTAAAATTAACATTGATTTCCTTTATCTACAGGATGCAGAAAATCTGTATTATAATTACCCTGAAATTCTGGCCCTTCGTACCATATTGATATATCATTTAGAATACAACACTGATGTCACTATTCATACAGAATTTTCCAACTGTCTGACACCAGAATGGGAGATATTTCTTAAAGAATGTTATCCATATTTCCTCATTGTCTCAGATACGGGAATATCAACTCATCAAACAGATTTTTTAAACATTTTGATCATGCATGCTCTTCAGAAGAAAATCAATATTGTACAGATTTTGGGAATAGAGTCCGATGTCCTTAGAATTTATGGATACTGTGCCTCAAGTCTCTATATGCACAAACAGTTTTTTGAAAAGGTAAGTTACATTAAATTACCCAGAATAAATGAGCAACATAAATGTGGAAAAATTAACCAGAGAACCAATAGCCGTAAGTGTTTATTCAAAAATTCTGGGCATAAGAACACTCTGAAGGAATATTCTAACATGGGAAAAGAGAGCAGAATTTAAGTTAGCTTACGTTCTTGCTTATTAAGCTTTTGGGCAATTTTGAGAAGTGGGGAGGAAAAGTATGGGCTAAGGTCAAGTACAATAGGCACTGCAGAGGAACAGTTCAGAGGCCAAGGACATGTGAGGACACAGTGGGAAATCCCCAGTCAGTGCCTTGTACATAAATTACATGTATCTGTACATACATATGTACACATTCACATCACATACACATTCATTTATACACTCCTATATATTAAATTTGCATACATTTGTGTATATATTTCACACATAAGTGTATATATGCATACATATATTATCTGGGATGATTAGTCTGTATTATCACTTTTAAAATTAAGATAGCTAGTAGAGAAAATATTTCATCATTTTATTTGTCTTTTTTGCAATTATTTTGAGTAGTTGTATCTATTAAAAAATAGCTGTGAATAAATACTAAGCCAGGCTTGACAATATTATTTAAAATTTTCTTTCTTTTTTTGTAAATAGATAACATATCAGTGTGGGGCAATATAGAGCAATTATAGTACTACTAAAGCCAGTACTTTCTTAGTTTTATTAGGCTGGTTTTTTTAGAATTACAAGCATGTTAATTTCTCTTCTTATATTCACTCTAGTAACCTCAACAGTGAGTATTTCAAACAAAAGGAGTAGAAGTCTATTTTAGCTTGAATTAATGGATTTTTTTTATCTGTAGTAAAATAATAATAAACATTATTTTCCACCTTGTGTTTACTTTAACTAGAGGTTTGCAATAGATATTTTTATTTGAACCAGACCACTTACTTATGTGTTTTGTTTTTTAGCATGAGATACAACTGCAACATGCCTTACATGCCTACATAATAGAGCATTACCAAAGGTCACAGGAGAGAGAAATATTTCTCTATGGTCATTTGAAACTAAACTTGGGAGAAATGCAGAAAGAGGTAACAACACATTTATTTGGAAACTGAAATCAGCACATAGGCAATGTATTTTTAATGGTTTATTGCTTCTAGAAGACAGACATTTTTTAAAATCAACATTCATGTCCTTGCTGATTATATAGACTTTCTTCTTCAAGCTGCATAGCACTGAGGCAAAGGGAGTCTTGCTAAACTTAATGATTACAAAACCCTAGAGATGTTCTACCCCAAAACATTATGTAAAACATACAGTAAATTTGGAGGAAAAAAGCTTGTGTGATAATTTTAAGATCTCAAACTTTTATTTTTTAATATATGGGTGACTACTGTGTAAATGTATACCTGAAAGCTAGGACATTTTTAGTTTTCTGAAAAGGAAAGCTATGTAGCTAGTATGGAAGTTAAGCCATTGATACTTGAGTAATCTCTCATGAGGAACCTAAGTCAGTGTTTATTTTATCCTTTTGATTATTCCAACCTCACTCTCTGATATTTCCCTTCCACAGTCTTCTTTTTGAAAGACTAGGTGTGTTGTCTTAGTTTCTCTCATAGACAGCAGCCTATTAAACATCTCCTCATGGATTTCTTGTTGTTGTTAATCCTCACCTGAGAATATTTTTTCCATTCAGTTTTAGAGAAAGTAGAAGGGAGGGAGCGGGGTGGGGAGAGAGAGAGAGAGAGACAGAGAGAGAGAGAGAGAGAAAGAGAAAATAGAGGAAGAGAGTAAAACATCAATGTGAGAGAGACACATCAATTGGTTGCCTCCTGCACACACCCTGACCTGGACCAGGGATTGAACCTGCAACCCAGGTACGTGCCCTTGACCAGAGGGTGCATGTGCCAACACTCTAACCATTGAGCTATGCTGGTTATCACATGGATTTTTAATAGGCATCACAAAATTAACATGGCTAAGTTTAAGACCTTGAGTTCAAACCCATTCCATTGAAATTTCCACATATCAGTTAATGTTATCTCTATGTTTATAGTTGTTCAGTATATAAACCTAGGAGGTATTTTTGACTTCACTCTTTCCCTCATACCCCCACCCAATCCACTAGTAAATCCTGTCACTGTGCATCCCGAACCTGGCAAATTGTCACCATTTCTATCACTATGACATTAGAGATTCTATCAAATCTTTCTTGTATGAAAAAATGCAGTAGACTAAGACACATCAATGTACTTGTATTTCTGTTTCTGCTTTTGATCTACTATGATTTACTTTCTACGCAGTAATCAGAGTGATCTTTTAAAAGTGTAAATTTAATATCATGGCACTACTCTGTTCAAAACTCAAAAGGCCATGTTATCAATCTTAAAATTCCTGCACACCTTACATAGGATGTAGACACTAGACTTTTTAAAATTTTTTTAAAAAGATTTCAAAGAGTAAGGAAGAAGGAGAGAGAGATAGAAACATCAATGATGAGAGAGAAGTATTGATTGGCTGCCTCCTGCATGCCCCACACTGGGGATCGAGCCCACAATCCGGACATGTGCCCTGGCCAGGCATCGAACCATGACCTTCTGGTTCATAGGTTGATGCTCAACCACTGAGCCACGCTGGCTGGGCTAGACAAACATTTTTAAATGAATGAAATTAATACCCAGCCATTGATAGAGAAAAACTATTGTAAGTCTGCATCCTGTTCTTGTCTAGTTACTTTGTGAACTTTTCAATTTCTTGCTCCTTTCCAACTTTCTCCAAAGCATGAAGGTTGTAGTGATAATACTTTCAGGAACAGTGGTCTATAATTATCAATTTATGAGAACATAGCTTTGAACATCAGGCAAATACATCATTTTTGTGTCAGTTGCCTCAATGGCCACTGAAAACTGTCTGAACTGGCAACATTGAAGAATTTACAAGTTAATCATTCATGGACTTGCAAACTGGGTATGGTCTATCCGGGTTTGTTAGAGTGTATACAGATCAGGAGGAGAAATAGTTATTAAAATATACTTAGAACCTAGCTAGATACACTCATTATCATTTCTCATTAAACATTTTCCCAATTGTTCTATTCTTCCTTAGGCATTTCTTTTATGTTTTCCTTAATTATTTGAAAGATTAAAGTTCAGTAGTAATATTATTAGTGGGAAGAATTAAACTTCTTTTTCTAGGGTTAAATATTACCTGAGCTTTGAACCTTGTCCCTTGTAATCACTAGGTCTTTAAAAAAATTTTTTTTATTGCAGATACATCAGACCTTGTCCTTGCTTCTCAATCTGTGGCCTGAAGGAGCTGATGTAAGAAGTGTTGTCTGCTCTATTTCATGTGCTGTGACACTAAAACACTATAAAAAAATTTTACATGATGCCCAAGACTACGAAAACCTAAACATATGCACAGAAAATCATAACACACAGGTGGGATTCTTTCAAAATTAATTTAATTATTCAATGTTTTCTTTAAAAAAAAATCTTTTTTGTTGAAAGTATTACACATGTCCCTCCCCCCCCCCACCACCATTGACCTCTTCTAGCCCATCCCACACCCTTCCCCAGGCCTTCACCACCCTATTGTCTGTGTCCAGAGGTTATGCATATCTGCATACAAGTTCTTTGGTTGATCTGTTCCCACCCCTATTCCACCCTTCCATCTGAGATGTGGCAATGCTTATGAGCAGTAGCTATAGGAATAAACAGAAAATATGTGTTTGTCACGTGTTTGTTGAATAAACAGTGATAAATATATTGATCACATTCTTATGATGGCACTCTGGGCTCTTTACAGACAAGTTAGGATAATTTTCTTTTTCTGAAATGAGCGTGTCACCTCTTTCTTTCCTGACCAATGGACAAATATTGATTTCATTCTTGTTCTCCTGATCATTACTGCTCCAGTTTCAAGACATGGGTGGTGACATCCCACAAGAAATTTAGCATCTGTTGAATCTGGATAACTAACCATCTACCCTGGTGCACAGAACCCATGTTTTCTGTTAAGAATACCAACAAGTATGCTGTACACATGAAGCTAATCCTATATAATAAAAGGCTAATATGCAAATCAACCAAACGGTGGAATGAGTGGTCACTGTGATACGCACTGACCACCAGGGGGCAGACATTCAATGCAGGAGCTGCCCCCTGGTGGTCAGTGCACTCCCACAGGGGGAGTGCCGCTCAGCCAGAAGCCAGGCTCTTGGCTGGGGAGCACAGTGGCGGTGGTGGGAGCCTCTCCTGCCTCTGTGGCAGTGCTAAGGATGTCCAACTGCTAGCTTAGGTGGGCCTAAACTGACGGTCGGACATCCCCCGAGGGCTCCCGAACTGCAAGAGGGCGCAGGCTGGGCTGAGGACCCCCACCCCCAAGTTCATCAATTGCATGCACCAGGCCTCTAGTATAAAATAATATTGAATGTTAACTGCAATTGAAAAATAAAAAAAAAAAGCATAACAATAATAATAGTAATGTTGGTTAATAATAGAAGCTAACTTTTACTAAATCTTTATTATGTGCCAATGCCAGGTACCTTATATACAGTATCATTAAATCATTACAGTCATTCTACTTAATAGATGAATAAGAGTCAAACGGCTAATTGGTGGCAAAGCTAGGCTACCAACCAAAGTTTATCTGTTTGTTTGTTTGTTTCCTGCTAGACTACACTGCCTTAGTACACATAGGAACAGGTGTGACAGTAAGAAGCTTTATGACACTTCTTGTATTTCTACTTTGAGGTTGTAAACACATACTAGCCATGCCTCCATGAAGGTGATCATCCTCCACCATATTAAAAAATGAAAGTATTAGATGCTCTAAATACTGGGCCTCTGTTTATTTGGAAAAGTCTTCACTTCTAAGCAAAATAATTAGTTATGCTGTTTAGAAAAAAATTATACGCTTGTTAAAAATTTTCTTAAAACAAAATAATTGAATAGGAGTACATCTATCATGTAGGGACATTATGAGTAAGATGCTCTAAAATACGGTTCTTGCGTGCCTGAATGTTTACATTGCCTGTGTTTGATATTTTTAAATGCATGTTTTTTAGGACTTGAAGAAACCCCTAACACTAAAGGAAGCAGCAGATCTTTGCAGAATGCACTGTCTCAGTGTGATTTTCCTTCAGCGTTTACCCCTGCTTCAAAGAGCTAAGAGTAGAATTATTACTTATACTTGGGACAGAACACTTGTACCATTTCTAAAGATGGTATGTGAACTACATGGAATATCATAAATATAAATTCAATAAGGCAAACATTAGAAGGCAGAATAATCTGATTTTTTCTAACATTGCTTTTATTTCTGCACACATCTAAAAATTGCTGCCACCAAACAATGCTTGTTTCTAGGAAAAATAGTTCTGTCATATATAAAAGTACTCAATGAGAATAAGTACTGCAACTCCATATAAAATGCACCATACTTTGAAGAATTCCAAATACTTAACTAGTATACAGTTTCTTTGAAGAAATAACCATCTCTACCATATATATATATATATATATATATATATATAGAGAGAGAGAGAGAGAGAGAGAGAGAGAGAGAGAGAGAAAGAGAGAGAGAGAGAGAGAGAGAGAGAGAGAGAGAGAGAGAGAGAGAGAGTGTCAGGTATTGCATGTTTTAAAAATTCTGGTGGTGCACTGGTTGAAAATTGCTGGTAGAGTGTATTGCAGTTTTATTTTGGATTAACACTTTAGGTCAAGAAAACAGTTGCATTTTGGAGCAAACTTTAAGCAGAGAAAATATTATATAACCTATTTTATTATACTTAAGCCTGCTAAGTAAAAATGATTCCCATTAGCTTTAGTATAGTCTGAGATAAAAGAATGATAAGGTACAGAAAGCTAAAACAGTCCCTTTGTGAGATATTGGGAAACCTATGTCATACAATAAATTAAAGTGCAGTTGTATGGCTGTTAAACTGCACTGTTGATTACATTACCGAGTCATTGTCAGCACAATGGGATTATGTATACAGGTGACATTTTCATTGCATATTTAAGAAATCCCATCTGATATGTCATTGTATTTTATTTAGGCCCTAACTCATTAAATGATGCCATAAGCAACTTTTAATTGAAACTATAGAAATAATAATGAAGTACCCACTACTTTTCTGTAATGACTGTTATTTTGAGTCAATGAAGGCATATTTATTGTGACAAATTCAAAGTATCATTTCATTTCAGAGCTGCAAGGTATGTTGGAAGGTATCTAGATTAACCATACTATCTTACAGTTATAAAAAAATGAAGCATAAATTAAGTAAGTCATTTGTATATAGTTGTAGATGTTGTCAATGCCAGGGCAGTCGCATTGTGTTTTCATATGTAGTCTAGTTCCTTTTTCTTGGGGTAAGGCACAGTTCATGACTTCCTTCTTGAGGAAAGTTTAAGGAAGTCATGAACATTCTGGGAAGATTTTATATCATTAGGACATGTCTCTTTCTCTTCTTTTTTTCCAGCTAAAAAGATGTCAATTTTTCATCTTAAAACATTTAAAAGCAAGGAATAATTGGAATGTGAATTTCACTGGCCTACCTGACTTAACTGATAATAGTTTGTGGAAAAATATTGCTTATTATTATGAAATTGAACATAATAGAGGTATATTTTATTTTTAAATTTTTATCTGTACTATAGAATAATTTTTTATGTATATTTTCTATTGTTGATAGTATTACAGATGTCTCCTGTAGAGATATATTTTAAAGAATTGTGTAGTTAAGTATTTTATTTTTTAGTGGGTGGGTGAGAATTGTATCTAACAAGCAATGGCAATGGACTATTCATTGATTAACTACAATTGGATAGGAAGCTTTCTTTGCAAATATTTTCTATTGAAAGTTTTTATTTCCACATGAGGTAAATGGTTCCATTGTGCACTTTGTAAGAAATTTTTTCCCCTCAAAATTACATATGAGACAATATCAGCTAGTGGGGTGGGTAGTTTAAATAGGACTATGGGAGCTACTCTTAGAGCTGTACAATAAATGTTATCACTTATTGTATATCTTTCATATATTGGATAATTTGTATATCTTATACAATGTGACACCATAGCTTTGCTGCTGATTGTTTTGGACAAGATGTGTCAGGTTGGAATATTATGTGAAGAAATGAAGATGTACAGTTCAGAAGGCCTTCCTCACTACTTCCAGCATGACCTACAGAACACCTGATATTGATTCCTGACTCCTTCACCCATCACATTGGAGCCACGGGCTGGCTTCTCATTGGCCCATCTCGTTTTGTTAAGAGTGATAGAAAAATACAGCAACACCAATAACAGTTCAAAGATATATACATACATATATATATATATATATATATATATATATATATAGCTTGTGTCCGTTACGACCAGAACGACCAAATGACCGGTCACTATGTGGTGCTACCATAGAAACTGACCAATCAGAACCTAATCTGGATGAACTGCGAAGGCAATTCCTTCATGGAGCGTGCACTGTAAGAAGGTTAAGTAAGGGATGCGAATTCAAAATTGCCACCAGCACAGACCTGAGGTGCCACTTCTCAGAGTGGCCAGGGATACACCTGGTAGCGGACTGGGAACATGACTGAAGGGCTGGCACCTATGTGAAGGTGGGCCATTCTGGATTTCCCATAGGAGCCAATGGCTGCCTAGGAGGTGGAGCTTTTGATACTGACTGGCATAGAAACCGACCAATCAGAACCTAATCTGGGTGAACTGCAAAGGCAGAACCTAAGGTGAGGGCTGAGAAGGGGTTTTAAGGGCAACAGCTATTTATTGTAAGGTGTAAGAAAGTGGCTCAATTTTTTAATAACCAGTTTGGCAGTGTAGTGCATATGGCTGGCTATCAGTCCAGATATAGGGTTATGTATTTTTGTCTGCCAAGAGCATCTCCTCCTGCTGAAAAAGGCTTCCCCCATTTAAGCAATCCTATCCTAGATAATCTATACTAATAAAAGAGTAATATGCTAATTGGACCAGGTTGACTGGCCATCTTCCGGACGTCCGACTTCCTTCTGGACAAAGCCATGGTGGTGGGGGCTGAGGCAGAGGCAGTTAAGGTCAATCAGGCCATGGGGGGACAGTTAGAAGCGAGATCAGGATGGCAGGGGGTTAGGGGTGATCAGGCCAGCAGGGGAGGGCCATTAGGGTGATCAGGCAGGCAGGGGAGCAATTAGGGGCATTAGGCAGGCAGGCAGGTGAGTGATTAGGAGTCAGTGATCCTGGATTGCAAGAGGGATGTCTGACTTCTTTGGTTGGGCCTAAACTGGTAGTCGGACATCTGGTTTGGAGAGGGTAAAGGCCAAGCTGAGGGGACCCCCCCCCCCCGCCATGGGCCTCTAATATATATATATACTAGAGGCCCGGTGCACAAAAATTTGTGCACTTGGGGGGCGGGGGGTCCCCCAGCCCGGCCTGTGCCCTCTCGCAGTCTGGGACTCCTCGGGAGATAATGACCTGCTGGCTTAGGCCTGCTCCCAGGTGGCAGAGGGCAGGCCCAATCCCTAAGTGCAGCCCCTGGTCAGGCTCAGAGCAGGGCCGATTGGGGAGTTGGGGCGCCGCCTCGTCATGCACAGAGCAGGGCGGATCGGGAGGTTGTGATGCCACCCTCAGTCACGCTCAGGGTAGGGCCGATTGGGGGGTTGGGGCACCGCCCCCTGTCACACTCAAGGCAGGGTCGATGGGGAGGTTGCGGCGCCACCCCCTGTCATGCACAGAGCAGGGCAGATAGGGAGGGTGTGGCCCCTCCCCTGTCACACACAGAGCCGCAGGGCGATCAGGGGTGGGCGTCGCATCCTGTCACACACAGAGCACAGGCGATCAGGGG